ATAAATTATTGCTTGGTCATCAGTCCTCGTGGGATCGACAACTTTTCTTATCACTTTATTACTTGTACGATGTAAGAACCCGCACCGTTAATTAAGGAAGTTAATTAATTAGTTATGAGAAATTAGGAAATAATTCCATAATTGACCCTAATAATTATTATGAGGCTTAAATAATTATAGTAAGTGAGTAATAATGCTGAAAGTCGCTTTTCAGACGAAAAGTGCAGATACCGGTTCTGCTACTCGGTATAAGTGCGTACCGAAAAAGTATCCCGAAAAATTCCTAGAATATTATGTAGGACTAGTAAAACAAGTTTCAGGTCAAAATAATGAGAACTGGTGGCAGAACTGATACTGGCTATGGAAAAGCGCGTACCGGAAAGGTGCTGCGAAAAATAAAATAAAAATATGTTAAATATTGTAAAATTGAGTAGGTTCAGAATCCTAAGTTCGGGATTAAAATGCTAAGCGTAGCATTTAGCACTAATACTGTGTGTTTTAACTTAAACCACTTATATATACTAAGGGCGCATAACCTTAGGCTGATACTCAGCCTCCCTACGTGACTCTTATGCTTCTCCATTCTGACTTGGTGTCTTCTCCTCTTATCACCACCATTTCTTCATGGGAAAACCACCAAATGATCATCTTTTCTCTTGATTCTTCCTTGTAAACACCTAGTGGTTGTGTTGGGGGTGAGTGAGAGGCTTGTGTTTCTGAGTTGTAGGTGCTGTTGGTGAGTTGTTGAGTGGCTGAGTTGTTGTGTCCCTTAGTGTGAGCCATTGTTCTTTCCATTGGAGACTTCAAGAAGCCATTTTGAGTGATAAAGGACCTTGCTTTGTGGTCATTTTTGTTTCCTTGAGAAGCCAGAATTTTGGGAGCTTCAAGTGAGCTCCAAGAGCACATTTGGTTGCTGTTTTGAGCTTGGGTAAGTGTCACCAACCTTGATCATGAATTTTAATGAGTAAAAGTGGAGTCTTGCCATGTTTAATGAGTTAAACAAGTAACCAACTAGTATGTGGACTTAAAACAGAGTAAAAATGCATGCTTTAACGTTGGAATGGGTTAAAAACCCAACCTTTGGATGTATATCTCGCGAAATGCAGAACTGCATTCTGTCGCGAAATATCCGGATATGGGATATCCGGATATGATATCTGGATATTGATATCCGGATATGGGGTCTTCTGATATCCGAATATGGATATCCAGATATGGGATATCCGGATATGGGATATCCGGATATGCCCCCGACAAATATCCAAATATTCTGGGTTTTCATGAACAGTGAAGATACTGTTCATACAGAACTGAGTTATGGGTTAGTGGACCCTAGACTGATGAAGTTGAATTTCTATAATAATTAACTAAGTCAGAATCTAAGTGATTAAGGGCTTGTGGCTTTGTAAGAAGCCTTAAGACGTAAAACATAAAGGAAGGGCGTTGTCTTTAAATCATATGCTTGTTGTGCATAAATATTGATAATATTGTTGGTCCAAACAGATTGTGATCTTGCTGTTTGTGGACTCTGAGGTATTGTGGACTCTTGGCTTGGATAGCTAGCTCGCAAGATAAGCTTTCGTGTCGTCGGTTTAGCCACTGTTGGTTCCACCATGTCCCATGGGGGGATGGTTTATATGCATGATGTGTTTTCATGTACTGTTTATTGAAATGCTATGGAGCTGTTAAGTGCAAATGCTTTATGATATGTATGTGGTGTGACGCCTACACAGGAGGCCATGGGGCGATCCTGTGGGTAGATACAGCATGGGCTGGTACAACATGGGCTGATACTGTGTGGGTAATAGACGTATTCCTGCACTTCTCTGATCAGTAGAATAGTATAAACACACATGACATGATTATCTGTTGCATTGCACTATTTTGGAACTTATACTGTTAAACTGCTTTTAGAACTTATATTGCACATGTAAGTGAGCTTGGGGCGGAAGATCCTTGAGGACCCCTTGTCTTACTGAGATTTCTTTTTAGAGATCTCACCCCACGTTTGGGGCACCATTTTTAGGTTCAGGTAATGCGGGAGTTGAGACCTATAGTGGCAGGAGGCCAGAGCTTAGTTGATTGATGATATATGCTTATGCTGCTTATGCTGTTATACTTGGATGCTGGATCCTGTTTACTGCTTTATGATTATAGCTTCATTATGGATTACCTTGTTGAGACCTTGTTGACTATGCTGTTTATTTGGTGAGCATGGGGATTGTCCATGCCACTTTGACTGGGTTATGTCTTTGTTCGATTTCTAGTTGTATTAATGTATCAGGATGTTGTCCGGACTACGTGTTGTAGATCTGTGACTTAGATGCACACTTTATTTATATATTGAGGTATTTCAGTTAGTTGTCTTTGCAATTACATATAGGCGATGTTTTTATGAAAAGGATTTAATAATCAACTTGGTAATGATATTGACGTCATAATTGGATGAAAGAAAAAGTTATTCCGCATTTTAATTAAATGTGGCTTAATACGATGACATGTTAACAAACCGGGTATACACGTGGTGTTACATACGACCGGTGCACTTGCCGAGTTCGTCAACAAGTTTTTGGCGCCGTTGCCGGGGACTAATTTAATCAACATTAGTCATATCTATAAAATTAGATTGGATCATTTTTTATTATTAGTTAGTTTTATTATTATAGTTTTGGCGAGCAGTGGAGCGAGCTTCACAATGCTGCTCACTTACTTGCTCGCTGGTGCGAGCAGTATAGCGAGCTTGACCAAATAATTAATATTTATTAATTTCCTTCTTTTCGCTTCATATCTTCTGGATTGCAATAACCTTTGGTCGTTATCAGGTTAGTATTCTGTTATTCTAGTATAGAACAACCTGAAACAACAACAAATGTTAGAATCTTATCTGTTTGGTTGCAATTTTCTCTCTTTTACTATTTTATTATTTAACACTATATTTTTAATTATTTTAATTATTATTTGAACTCTTTTTAACCACAAAAACATAGTGTCTTGCACACTTATCACCCTCACTTAAAATTTCCATAGAATCATACTTCATAAACTACACACATCAACGTACATACGGTTGTCCCTGAGCATGACACAACAGTCGTGATCTATGTTCTCAACATCCATAAAAAATATCACATGTATTGATGTTTATATTAATATAAACTAGCCCCTACACCAGGGGCGGACCCAGGGGGTGCTAGGGTTGGCGCCCCCCCCTCCAAAATTTGAAGAATTTTTTTTAACATAAGTATAATGCAAGAAACCTCTATTTTCCTCTCCATTAATGAGAAGTAGTTTTCTCCCACCGCAGAGTTTATAGAGCTTCTTTGTATTCTTAAGTCTTATATCTATTGAAACCCTTCTAACTCTGACTACATTTTTTCTCCCTCTAGTAAAGTTAACGAAATAAACAAAACAAAAAAAGAATGAGAAAGAGTGCAGTACCATGATTAGATCTTGTCGAAGTGAAAAGTAAGCTCAGGGTTTAGTTTGGGGGGTTTTAGAGAGAGTTCAGAGATAGAAAAAAGAAAGTCACGATTATCAAATCCAGGATTTAATTCTTTCTTGTCCTTTTTTGCTTTAACAAAAATAGGTTTATTTAAGATTACATTACAGTGTTGGGAGTATCAGTGACCACCAATAGAACTATATGGTTTCTCTTAGTTCAAATTATTTTAGCTATGTGGCGCTTGTTTGTTGGCGCAGACCTGGTGGTAACAATTAGCATATTGAATTAGTATTAAATTATGGGAAAAGATCTGTGTACAATTTATTTTATAAATTACACTAAGAGCCTGTTTAGATCCTCTTATTTTTAAGCTGGAAACGACTCATAAGATAAAGCTAAAAAAAAAGTTAAAAGCTGCTTGGTAATTGCATAAAAAATTTAGCTTAAAAGTACATATTTCAAAAAAATTATCTCCCTATCTATCTTTATAACTCTTCATTTTTAAAAAAAAACATACAATTCAAGAAAAACAGATAATAACTTAAAAAAAAGAGCTTTTCATTATAAGAACTTTTTCCAAAACCTGTTTGGCATAACTTATGCTTATAAGTAGCTTCTAGCTTAAAAAAGAGAAGATCCAAACAGGTACAAATATTTAATTTTTCGTATTTTTGCCTCCCATATACTATGTTTGAAGAGAGAAACAAATGTTTAATTTTTAGCCCCCCACAAGAAAAATTCATGGGTCCGCCACTGCCCTACACATTGTCGTCTTGGCACTTGACCGAAGCTTACAAATTGCTGACATATCCATACCAATTTACAAGATAACTATACATGCCATCATGTTAAAAGAAGGTACACATGTTCAAAACAAAAATACATTGACAATCTAATTTAATATCCAAGGTTTAACATGTGACTTAAACTCTTAGGTTCTTGATTTCTCCGAATTTTAGCTTCTTTATTTATTGTACATGTAAAACCACAACAAATGATAAAAATTTCAGTAAACCATTAAGAAATCATAATCTTTTCCTTAGGAATTTGCCCAACATGGCTAGGAACTTTCCCTTATCATGCACCTACATCATGGTTAGTATTGTTGGCGCAATTGGATATGCGAAAGCGTATAGAGTGTTATGAATCATCATCGTTCTTTGTCACATAAAATTTTACCTCTTGTAGCGCAGACCCATGAGAAACCTTCCTTGTGTAGACTAGTGAAAATTCTTCCACGCTAAAATTAAGAGTCAAAATTTTATATAATATACGAAAAAGAAAAAGGCTAAAATATAATTAATACACGCCCAGAAATAATTGCTTCAAATGCTAATGTTATCAATTCAGCACATATTGTAAACTCAAATTACTCCATTTATCAGGATTTTAATAACACAAAACTAACTCTGGTATACCAAATGTATACTCAAAAGCAACAACGCCCAAATGAAATTCCAATATAGAAAAAAGGTACATGAAGTTATAGTCTAACAGGAAAAACAAGCAATAGAAAATATAAAATAGATACTTTGATGTCTTCTACATCTAAGAGATTTTATGACTCTAGATTATTCCATTCATAAGTTCTTTTTAATCCAACATTTAATAGTGTTTCAAAGCACGGACAAAAATATTTTCCCATTTCATATGCTGTGATGTACCGAAAATCCTCTGATTCATAGATAATTCTTGAAGTATGATCCTTTAGATTATAGGACATGATTTTGGAGTCTTGAAACAACACAACCATTGAATCCTCTTCACTTGCTTGGTGAACAACACATAACACATAAAATGGGCGATCAACATGTCGTGAAAATGCATCCCCTATAAGATTAAGATCCACATGATATCTCACGACCCATCCGGAGTAATCTTCCTTTAGCTCCAAAATATCAAAGTCCAAACTTTCATTACTCTTAGTTAATATCAAAAGAAAATGTCCTCTGGACTCCCCGAAATACTTAACATGCACATTCCTAGAGTTATCAAATTCTGGTTCTGGCAGTGTTTTAAAGCATTGCCGATGGACATCAAAATATATGGAACTCTCACCAGAATTGTACCAATGTATTGCACCATTGAAGTAAACGCCAGAATCAACAATGAAATTGGGTGGGGCAGTAAAGAAGACTCCATCCCCATTCCAAGAACTAGTCTCAGAAGAATATGTATTAATCTCGAACTTCTTGGGACCGGAAGTTTCATCATATTCGATACACCGACTCTCACTTTGCACTCTTAGGAATGAAATAACTTTAAAGTGAATGGATATCAAAGGGTCAACAGCCAAATAAAGTGCTGATATTTCATAGTGAAAATTTTGGCCAGGGAATTTGAGAGTACGGGAGTGCTTGGTCGTTGGGTTAACGACTTCATAACTATTGTATCGGCGCAAATGTTTACCACGGTAGTATACATGTTTGAATAATATAAAACCGTTGCATGAATGAATAATTTGAGTATAACGCAAAACACGTTTATCACGAAATTGGTAGGTCCTTATAGTAGAAGAGTTAGAGTCAAAGTTAGTCAAGGGGATTCTATGGAATTGCGAATAGGATCGGTACCAAAGGAAACAAGAGGCCGAGGTGTTGGAGAGACGACAAGAGTGGGAGTGACAGAATTGAGGGTTGGAGATGAGAGACAACCATTGTTTTGAGACACACTTGCATCTACCCACGTCTTTCACCGGCAGCCGGAGAAGGATCTCCGTCACAAGGTCAATGTTACCGGCGACAACGTCACGTGAGCTCTGCATCATGGAACACCTCCTCAAACGAATATCCAACATACTTTTCCTTCGGTTTTTACGTTCAATTTATAGAATGACAACAATTTATAGAACACCTCCTCAAACGAATATCCAACCATTGTTTTTTGTTTTTCCTTCGCTTCTTATGGAAACATTTTTCATTCTATTTTTTCAAAAAAAAAAAAATATCAATGTATATTTAATGATATTACTAAATGCTGTTAAGGAATCTGTATCGTTTAATTATTTTCTTTAAAATTAATATGTATTTAATGATATTATTAAATGCTTCCAAAGTCGTAATATTTTTTTATTTATTTTTTTGAAAAAATTAATTTGCATTCAATGATATCCTTAAAATATCTCTTTTGTAAATTTATAAATGAAAAATCTTATTTTTATTTCCATTGTTTCACATTTTCTTTATAAAATAATTTTATATTTTAATTATTTAAAAAATAGAAATAGATTCTAGTAAAATATGAATTTTTAATTATATTATCTCAAAGAAAATAATATAAGAGTGCTATTGGTTTTTTTGGTGTAAATATTATTTTTTTAATTCGAATGCACATACTATTTTTCTTACAATAAAAATAACGTTAAAATTCAAATAAACAAAAAATTAAATGAAATTTTTTTTAATAAAGAAGCCATGCAAAGAAAGAGATCAAATTAAGTTGTAGATTGATATTTTTAATAAGGGTTACTTCGTTGATCCGGTTTTATACATTAAAAAAATATAAACATATATTTGATATGAAAAATTTTAAAAAAATCAAACCATCAATTATTAAAGATTTACAAAATATACATAACATTAAGTCAATATTAGTATTTTTTATATAATATAGATGTAAAAAGATAAGTATTAAGCAATATATCTTATTGTTATAAAAAGACTCTTTGAATGAAAAAACATATATAGGTTAAAATCTGATACTTTTCTTAATTAAGGAATGAAAGTATTTAGATGTCCAAAGTCAAATTTTAAAGTATATCTTTTTTTATTTTGATTTTTCACAAATGCGCGTTATTTATTGTAGAGTAAATTCATTCTGATTTTAGATAAATAGAAATAAATAATTGATTTTATCCTGGTGACAGATTTCCTCCACCAAAAAATTAAGAATTATTAAAATAATATGTTTAACCATTTCGTATAAATTAAATATAAACAGTGTACAACTATATACATATGTTACAACGAATTTACCTTAAAATGAATGTGTAATTTTCCTTGCAAAATAATATTGAAAAAATCAAGCCTGGGTATAAAAAAAATCTTAAAAATGAGGTTATTATATATATACATAAGAAGAAAATTTTAATTCAGTATGAAATTCATCTTTTTAAAACCTCATTATTTGCATATTCGTTTGATCTAAGTTTTATTTATAGATTGATATATCTTATATAATAAATAAAAAGTAGATTAAAAAAATGATGTTATGAAATGCTTCTTTTAAGGTGACATTTTTTATTATTATTATTTTCAAAAAAAATAATATGTATTAAATGATATTATTAAATTTGCAAATAAATATTTATTATTTAATTTTTTTTAAATTAGTATGCATTTAATGATATTATCAAATGCTTCTGAGCTTAAAATTTATTAATTTATTTATTGAAAAAAAATTAATGTGAATTCAATGATTTATTAAAATGAAATATAATTTTCAAATTTAGAAATTTAGCATCAAATCTTAATTATTGATTTTCGACAATCAACGATTATCATTTATTGAGAATTAATAATTAATTAATAAATTTGATTCTCAATAAATGATAACCGTTGTTTGACGAAAATCAACTGTTGGGATTTGATGTTAAATTTTAAAGTTTGACATCGGTTAGAGGTATTAAAAGAGTCGAGGGCTTTTCAGGAGCCTTTGGCTTGGCCTGTGTGGATTAATTACGATTCAACCATTAATTTGCGATGCAGATTGGTTACGTTATAAGTATGCATAAAGAAAAAAACAGAAGGTATTAATTTACTTAATTTAAATTGTTTTATATCTTTTGATATTGTAATTGAAAGTCGAAAATAATTTGACTTGTTTTTTGTTTTTTTATGTAGGAGAAAACAGTATAGCAATATATTAAATTGTTGATATGAGTATATTAAATTATTTACATAGAATTTTGTTCTTTTGGATATGCAGAATTTTGTACTAATTTAGTTTATTGATTAAACAGACTTTTTGAATGATTTTTCTATATTATACTGCTCGGATATATATTGAATTTATGAATCTTTGTGAAATTATTAATAATGTTGATAGTATATTCTAATTGGATAAATTTTTGTTGTCTTATTTTTGTTTAACAGGCTAAACTTGTGTGTGTAAATAAGTCAGATCACAAGCCAATAATTATATTCCTAACAGGTTATAGGTTAGGCCAGTCTGAGACACATTTAAACACAGGCTTAATCTTTTAAGACCAAAATCCAGTTCAGCCCGACCATTAACACCCCTAACACAGGTGTTAATGGATCATGCCCCTATTAAAAGATATCTTCTGTAAATTTATAGATGAAAAATGATATTTGTATTCTATTTTTTTTACATTTTCTTTATTTTATAAAGTATTTTTATATTTTACTTATTTTGAAAAAAAAATCAAGTTAAAATATGAACTTTTAATTATATTATCTCAAAAGAAAGTAATATAAGAGTGATACAGTTTTTTTTTATTGCAATATTATGCTTTTTGTAATACAAATGCACATATTACTTTTTGTTTTTTGTTTTACCGACCATAACTATCTTTTTAAGGTGAGTCAGTTTCTCGGGTATTCTCATAAGTTTCAATTCTTTGAGCCGGATATGAGAATAATCGCGAGTCAAAGCTTAGTCAGAGTTGATTCAAATCAAACACATCATCTTGCATTATAATATCCTTCACCATAGTATTTAATTAATTGCATGTAATTAGGCAATTAATCTTCACTACAAAGAAAAAAGTTTATTTGTGACGAAATTTTTTCGTCACAAATATTGTCACAAATGATAATTTTCGACACAAATAATCGAATTTCGTCACAAATATATTTGCGACACAGGAATTTGTGACGAAATTTACTTGTGACGTAAGAATTAGTGACGAAATTTCATAAAATTTTGTCACTAATAAGATTTTTTCTTGTAGTGCTTGTATTAGTGGATTGAATTAGTTAAAATATCTAATTAAATGAATTAGGATCACGTTTGAGATAAAAAGTGCAGTAAATGAAAAATATGAGATAAAAATATGTGTAGGCAAAAGTACCCAAAATTAGAAAAATATTTCAGACTCTTGGGTAAAATTTGGTAATGAATGGATGTGAGTAGATAGATAAGTTTTTACCCGATAAAAGTAACTTAAATATGTTAATTTACAAAACATCAGAACCCACCCCATTTGCTTTCTTCCCCGACAGATACAATGCTTGAGAGAGACAGGGAGAGACATTGTGAGACAAAACCCTAACTTCCTTGATTCTCCACCAAACCAAACCATTCCAAAGCCAATCTTGCTTCAAATCTCCTTCTCTTTGTGAATCCAAGCTTGGTTTTGAGTGTGAAGCATTGTGGAGTGAGATTTCTTCTTCCCAAAAATTTTCCCTTTTGGAGATTGTAAGGGTTTGGGAGCATTTCACTCCTTGGGGACTTAGGGAACACTTATTCCTTGGTTGTGTGATCTTTTGAAGTAAGTTTTCACTTCTTAAACCTTGTTTCCATGGAGATTGCATGAGGTTGAAGATGATGAATAGCGATTTTGTGAGTTTTATGAGTTTGAGTTTGATTGATGCTAAATCCCTTTACAAATGTTGTTAGGAATGATAAATAAACGGTAGAAATTGACTTAGATAGTGATTTAGGTGTTGTTCAATAAATTGGGAAATTCATAATTGGGTTTGTGATTTTCTAACATTTTGAGCAATTAGTGAATTGGTTGTTTGATTGATTAGGTTCCTTGTGATGCTAGGATTGAGACAAGTGGACCAATTTTGAGTGATCAACCATTGGAGGAAGCCATTGAGCTTGACTAGCTCATTTGAATTGGTAAGCTCATGCCTTAACTGTGGTGTGAATGTGGTTGTTGGTTGATGAATATTAATATATTCTTGGATGCAATAGATTGATTTTTTTGCACCTTTGTGTAGGTGTTTTTTTGTGAGATTATTGGTAATAATTGTAAAGCTTGATTGTGCACATTGGTAGTGAATAAAGGTTGAGTTAGAAGCAAATTGAGGTAAGCCTTCAAACCTTGGTAATTGATCCCTTAATTGTTCCACCAAGCCCTGAATGGGTAGTGGTTGTTAATAGTGTATGTAAATGCAATAAAGTAATTTAATGCTTTGTTATAGGTATGTGTATGCACTGGGTGTGGCGTATGATGGTGTTTCCCTATGTTTGTATGTTGCATGAAGATGCATAATTCATACTTGGTAGTTTAGCTGGCCAGTAGGACTATTTGAATCTGAGTATCCTTAGGACAACATGAGAGCTCGAGGAATGTCTCCTGGAGATGTTTGACACACTACATGGATATGTATTGACTGCATTATTTACTGTTATTGCTATTATACTATGAGTGAACTATGGGGTGGAGAGATGCTCCAAGGACCCCTGGTTTACTGAGGTATATTCATTTATCTCACCATGTGTTGTGGGGACCCCCTTTCACGTACAGATACTGCAGGAGCCTCTAGTGGCAAGTGGCCATACTTGGACTAGATTGATACATGATGATGTTGCATTATTTTGATTATGCATGTCATTTAGTAGCTCCTATGTATAAGATTTATATTTGAAAGCCATTTGATATATGTACATCATGCTTTATTTTGGTAGACTTAGCCTATGCTCATCTCCTTTGGTGTCTCTTGTTGTTGATAGAGGCCAAGGATTTGATCATTGTGTTTTGTAGCTAAGTCTCATGGTTATCTATTAAAGGCACTTAGATATTGTGTAATGTTGTACTTATGGTATATATGATGGAAGGGCATAGATGCCTATTTTGATAAATGTGTGTCTTAAAATTGTAAGGATTATGTCTTGTAGTAGTTATACAATGCCAATTAGGAAAAAGAAGACATTTAGGTTGAGAATCAATGTAAATATAAGGATATAATGTCTTGTTGTCCATTTTTCATATACTATATGATAGGTTTTGACCCTTGTGTCTTAATGAAAGTTATAGTTCTTTTTCTTATCTTTCTAACGAGACCAAGATTGCGCTAATCGAATAAGTATAACTCAAATTATGGGTAAAATACTAAAATAGAGTGAAATCTCCAGACCCGTGGTGTTGTGAGCACCACCAAACGATGGGCTGGCGTACTAGCGCCAAAGTTGGTGCTGTCGTAAGATGTGAAAAACTCCGGCGCTACCAGCACGGGTTTGGCACTATCAGCACGGAACCCATCGAAATTCAACATCATTTTCTTTAAAAATTCATAACTTGAGCTACGATGTTTCAAATTGAGCGCGGTTAGAACCCACGCGTAGCTAATGAAGAGATCTATAACATAGTGGGAGATGAGAACCATAGAGAAAGTATAAAATTCCATGTGTAACTAAAAAGTGAAGGTGTTTAGTGTTGAATATCAATAAAAATGAGTTTTTAAGCCTTGTTGGTCTAAGGAGACTACTTGACACGCTATGGTAACAACGTATGATCTAAATAAATTTACATTAAGTGTTCATCTTATAGTTTAAGTTATGATTACAGTTATTGGAATTGTTTTAATTATAGAATTGATTTTTAACAGAAACGTTTATTAACGAAAAAGAAAAAAGTTTATCCGTTTTATAATTTAATTGATGTAATTGTTAACTACGCTTAATGCCATAAGTAATATTAACAAACTAGTTCTAGAACAAACTGTTACATACATCAATTAAATGTCCTAAAAATGAAGCTGGGTTTTTGGGTTAAAGTTGACCTGTTCAATTTTTGGGTCTAGATAAAAACGTAAAAACTTGTTTTTTTTTTTTTATAATATATTTTTTTGTTTTTACGTGATATTTACGTTCTTAATCTCCTTTTTCTAAAACTTTGCTCATACGAGATTTCACTTTACAATATTGAAAAATGGTGATAGCATTTTATGTTTTCCACTTACATTGTCATTTATATAACCCTCCTTACGTTCCTAAATCTATTACAACAAATATCAATCCAATCAAAACTCATTTATGTTATAAACCCTTTTCTCTCTACTTTAATATATATACTTTCCACTTCATTCTCCTGAATTTGTTAATGGATGATGATCATTTGAGAAGATCTCAACTCGGACACAAATCAACTATAAAAATAAAATAAAATAAAAAGAGAAAAGTAAAGATAAAGAAAACCAGGACGGAATACAAATACAGCTTCAGAAACAAGAAAGTTCCATAAGAGAGATGAAAGTTTGGATCACAAAATCAAAACCAAAAAATAAAAAAATTAAAAAAATTAAAAAAAAAAATTGTTGAGGAGATAGACGCTGTGAAATCCCAACCAAGGAAGCAAATCTAGAATGGAATCGAGCATTCTAGAATCAATAGGCGTTGAGATAATCGGAGTAATGTCCCCAGTTTCAATCTGCATGTTCCTTGTGGTTCTCTTAGTCTATTCCCTCTCAACATCCTCTTCCTCCGTCGACGCCACAATCCGCACGGCGGCGAATCTCGTCTACGCCGAGAACCCCTCCGACACCGCCGCCGAGAAACTCGAGGGCGCGCTCCTCAACGCCCTCGTCTTCGTCATCCTCATCGCGTTAGTCACTTTCCTTCTCGTCCTCCTCTACTACTACAACTGCACCGCCTTCCTCCGCCACTACATGCGCTTCTCCGCCTTCTTCGTCCTCGCCTCCATGGGCGGATCCATCTTCCTCTCCCTCATCCAGCGCTTCTCCATCCCTCTCGATTCGATTACGTGCTTCCTCCTCCTCTTCAACTTCACCGTCGTCGGCGTTCTCTCCGTCTTCGCCGGCGGGATCCCTATTTTGCTCCGTCAGGGTTATATGGTCTGTTTGGGGATTATTGTTGCTGCATGGTTCACCAAATTGCCTGAATGGACCACCTGGGTTTTGCTTGTAGCGCTTGCGGTTTATGATTTGGTGGCGGTTTTGGCCCCCGGTGGCCCCTTGAAGCTCCTCGTCGATTTGGCCTCGACCCGGAACGAGGAGCTTCCGGCGCTCGTGTATGAGGCTCGGCCCACCGTGGCGCTAACCGGCCGCCGCGGCGGCGGGGCTTCTACTTTAGGGCTTTTGGTCACCGGAGTTTCGGAATCGGAACCGCGACCGGAATCTTCATCAATTGAGCTTCAGACGGTGTCTAGGGATAATGTGGATAGGAATGAGATTGAGAATGAGAATGAGGGTCATTTTCATGGAAACTCTGTGGTGAGTCAGAGTAGTAGGAATGATGAAGAGGAAATATCGCCGTTGGTCGGTAACCGGTCATCGAGCACGCAATTTGGTCGGAGAGAGGTTGAGATTGTTGATGAGGAAATGTCTCCACTTGTTGAGATGATTGGGATGGGGAATGAAGGACAGATGATGATGGGAAGGGATGGTGTGGAAATTGCTTCTAGGGGTATTAAGCTTGGCCTTGGGGACTTTGTGTTCTACAGTGTTCTTGTGGGTAGAGCTGCAATGTATGATCTGATGACAGTGTATGCTTGTTACCTTGCAATTATATCAGGACTTGGGTGCACTCTTATATTGTTGTCAGTGTGCCGCCAAGCTCTGCCTGCACTGCCTGTTTCTATCACCTTGGGTGTTCTTTTCTATTTTTTGACTCGGTTGCTTATGGAACCCTTCATTGTTGGGACAGCCACAAATTTAATGATGTTTTGAAATAGCATTGTTCTTCTTTTGAGAGATTGAGGTTAGGCTTTAGATATGTACTAATGCTTTCATAGACAATGAACTTGTACATGGAGTGAAGAGGTAGTACTCCTTTGCCTCGTGTCTCCTTTGTAGTAACATAATTGTTCTCATCATCTTATGATTTTGAGCAGATAGTGTTCCAATTAATGGTCATCAATCATCAGACTGCAAGTTCAAAAGGCTACTTGTTCCTTGCCCTTTGCTTAAGAGCCTGTAAATTTTAAAACTAACTAATATTGTTTGTTGATCTAAATGTCTTCTTTGGCTTTTTGACATACATGAGGTGTGTAGAGGAAATTAGTGGTAGCTAAGCATATTTTGAGTATATCACTTCTACCTGAGTATATTTTCGGATTTTCCATATAAATTACAATGTCTAACCTGTTTCCCTTTCATGATTTTCTATGTTGGATTATGTCCTTGTTTATGCACATAACAATGGAAATTACCCATATATAATTTTTTGAGTTTAACATATCTCTTCTCTTATAAATCGGAAAACAATTCAGAAGACTGTTTCCTATATGTTGAAACTGTTAACTTTAACTATGAGGGTGGGGGCTTTTGGGTGATGTGGGTTTGTGTATCATATGTATGTTTAGATGTGCATGAACTGAAATAAATGCTTGTAATGCACACGACACGACTACACTTCATGTGTTATTTTATTAGTATATGCAACTATGCATGCACTTGAGCATTCCTAACTATTAGTCCTTTGCAGGTCATAGACAAAAAATTTGTTGACAAAGATATTGTTGATTTAACTCTGGCTGCAGTATAAGATGTCCTTCACATGCCATTGATCAATTTGTGTTGTGTCTTTTATAATACTAAATGGTTTACTTTGTTTAGAATAATTTTATTAGTTCCATGTCTTGCTCCCTCTTGTTTTAAAATGTTTTCTTTCTTCTGAAGATCAGTTGTTGTCCTAATTGGTAAGTTGAGTTCCAAGTGCTATATATGGGCTTTTTACTTTTTTGGCAGGGGTGCTAATATCTGGATCTCTTTCTCCCAAGTATTGGATCAAGAATGAAGTGACGGTCTATTAATATCAACTGAACAGACATTTTAGGTCCTTAAGCTATATGTATTGCTAAGCTCTCCCTTCCTTCAGGCTTTCCAAGTTATTTACCTTTAGAATCTAGTTTGCAGGACTGAAATGTTGCAAGTATGTTATTGCATAGGTATATGTGGGTTGGGTTTAAAAGTATTCTTCTATTTTCTTTGTTGCTAGTATGCTTAGAATATTCAGTTTCTTGGAATGTGATTTTTATTGAGATTTGTTGAAAAATTGGTTATGACAGTCATTGGGAATTTTGGATTGCATATTTAGAGGATTGTGGCATGGTTTTCTGATGTTGTCTGTAAAAACTCTGAAGTATAACTTATAATAATCGTAAGGAACAGTAGCTGTATAGTAGGTTGCAGAGCTTCTCCGTGGTTAATGGTGAGGTGAAGAATGCCAAAACATTGGTATATGAAATTGAATGTATAGTTTGTTGTTAAGGGCAAAGCTTCGTCCTGTCCAGTGGAATAGAAACACTTACTTTTATCTTCTATTTTCTTTGGTAAAATATGAGCCTGATATTCATGTATTATATTAAGCAAATGATGGATCGTATATGATAAAGGTTTAGAGGTAGAGACATTTGGGTTTGATAGGACTGAAATTAGAGCTGCTTTGGCATAGTTGAAAACCTTGTCCTTCAAACTTCTTCTTACCTCATTACCATAGCACAACGAAGTATAGAAATTTTTACTGTAGAAAATCATCTTTCTGCCTACTGTTTGAATTTTCTTGACTATGAAATTGATTCTGCTATAGTGAACTAATCGTGGGGTAGAAATTAATACAATTTGCCATGTTATCTAAGGAGGGGTTACTGTGCTTATGTTTCTTATACACCTACGTGCTTTACAAATTTTAACAGTCCATTGTGTTCCAATGAACTATTTTTAAGATATCATGATTTCAAGTTACATTCTTTTCCATCAGCTGAAAAAGGGAAAGGTAAGAATCTGATAAATAATGCCTACAATCTCACTAAGGAGACTGCAATATCTGCTCTAACTTTTTTTTTGGGATATATATCTGCTCAAAAAATTCAGTTTTATTTATGGCTTAAGCTGATTTGTCATATCTGCATGGTGTAAAGAATTTGTCAATTCTGGTAATTATATGCATTGTCTTACCGTAGTTTGTGTGATCTTATCGTTATGGATGCTTTCTATCAACTAGGTTTTATACATATAAACCTCGTTGGTCTCCTTGCCCTTTTTTTGGGTATAGTTGTTGATGGTAAATTTAAAACCAGTTTTTGCTTCTGGAGTAGTTAATAACGACGGAGAGATTGTGGCCTTTAGCTCGAAACATTTTTCATTTTCATGATTTCATCCTCACTGCTGTGTGTGGCATCCCAATTAATGTTCCTATGACTTTGTAAGAGTGATCCAAAACACTCAATCATGTAACTTGTGATATGATGTAATTTCTAATTTTTGCCTACTAACTCATGTTTTATGACTTGAATATCCTTGCAAGCATTGCTCTCTCATCAGAACCGTGAGGGGAAAAAAAATATGTAATGGAATACGGACTCTTGAGTTAAATAGGCTCAATAGATAAGTCAATTATCAAAGTAAAATAAAAGAAGATATCAACAAATACTACTAAAATCTCGTTACATCTCCTGGAAAGCACACACAGACCATAACTCCTCTTTGATAGTACGCTTGACTAATAAAAATTTATGTGTAACTAGTTTTTAAAAAAAATAAATAAATAAATAAGAAATTAGTGGATTTCAATGTTTTTACTTTGTTTTTAATGGGATATTTGGATGTAGATAACTTTTAGGAGAGAAAATGTTTTTATTTGGATTTATCATACGTCATCAACAGAATATTATGTGAGACGGGACAACCTTAAGTTAATCCGATCCTTGGACTGGTCTATGTCTTTTTCTTTTCTAACAATGCAAAGGTCAAGATCAAGGTCCGCGGAGGAGGTTGCCGGAAGCATAGACACTCTGGGGGAGATCCTTCTCCGGCTGCCGGCGAAACCGCTACTCCGATTCAAGTGCGTCTCAAAGCAGTGGCTTGCTCTCATCTCTGACCCACGATTCTGCTACTCCCACACCCTTCACCACCAAACCCCTTCTGCCCTTCTTCTTCCCGACATGTGTTCTCCCGCACCATTATCTCACTTACACATCGTCCCTTTGACCACAACCCCCACCGTGCGTGTTTTGAATCTTAATTTCCTCGACCATCCTGAGGTTTCTGTCGTCCGTTCATGCAACGGTCTTCTCCTCTGCCACGGTTGCTCCAGCTACTTTGTCTGCAATCCAACCACAAGAAAATTTGTCGCTCTCAATTTCCCAAACCAACAATTCAGGAACCAAGTAAGTGCTCTTTATCTAGCTTTTGACCCTTTGAGATCCCCCCACTTTCAAGTCCTTTCAATTCGGGTATTGGGTAGCCAGAACTTTCAGGCACTGTGTGTGTTCAATGAATATTCCTCGAGGACCCGTTCCTGGTGTGATCCTGGGGTTTCTTTCATTGCCCAATCCAAAGTGATTCCTGGTGCTGGGGTTTACTGCAACCGTGCTATTCATTGGTTCTACGATGCTCTGAGTTCTGTGTATTTTGATATTGATAGTCAGTGTTTGAAAGATTCGCCATTGCCTTTGCCTGATGAGGGATGGGGCAATCGAATATTCGAGTATTTTGGCGTTTCTGGGGGGCGTTTGCATTTGATATTTACTGTGCAAACTTTGAAGTTTGATATTTTGGAGTTGAAGGAAGATAACTCTGTGTGGTCATTGAGACACCGTGTTGATCTTAATCCCATGAGAATTGAATTTCCCGAGCTATGTCGTTTGAATTTGGCTAATTATGTCCTTCCGGTTTATATTGTTTGCCCTACAATAGAAGAAAATTCAATGTTGGTGTTGGTTGTAGGTGGGACAACCATATCCTATAATCCGTTAAATCACACTTCAAGAAAATTATGTGATTTTGAGCCGGATATGGGAAAGGTTGATGCAGTAGCTTGTTATATGTTGGGTAAATGTTTTCAATATTTTGAAAACCTTTCTTCGGTTGAAACTTTTGCTGCTTATTAATAAATTTATCGATGCAATGAAAACTGCCACTAACGTTTTGTATGTGGAAAACACTTTGGACTCTACTGCTCAGCAGAGGGCTCTTTTTGCATTGGTCTTCATCTTGTATGTGGAAAACACTTTGGACTCTACTACTCAGCAGAGGGCTCTTTTTGCATTGGTCTGCATCATCTTGATTCTTGAAAGCTTTATGACCGACCTCCTTACTTGTCCTCCTCCAATATTACAACATCACCAATTTTCACAAGAACTACTACATGGGCTTTTGAATTTTTCATTCTTATCATGGGTGGTGGATCCATCTTGTTGGGCAAAATTTAGGTATTTTCATTTCCACTAACTCAAAGATTGGTAGGATATTTGATAATGGAAAGCTTTTGATGAGGATCAAGGAACATTATCTCCTTGTTCAAATGATTGGATTGAGGAATGAATAAAAAACAGATGAGGATGGTTAGGGTGGAGATCTCTAGTGGTATATTTGGGATTGCAGACTTGTATGCTTGGATGCCTTGTGAATAGAGCTAGTATATATCAATGTATGCTTGCTATCTTGCATCTATGTGGGCTAGGGTGCACTCCTATTTGTTGTTAGTTATCCATAATGTCTGCACTGCAGTCCCTATTTTTATCACATTAGCCACTATGTTTAACTTTGGTAAAAGCTTGATTTGGTATGTCAATGTTTTAAGAATGGTCTCATATCTGTAAGATGGCTTGAAGCATCACATGGCCACTATACCTTGTGCTGGTGGTTTGGAATTGAACTCTTTACCAATTAGTTATCACTGATTGTATGTTAAGGACCAACATTGTTTGGTGGAGGTTGAAATATGATTTTATATCTTTATCTAATGGAGAAAAGCTATAAGTAGGGTGGAAGGTTAAATCCGTTGTTATTCCTATGTTCCAGATGATCCCTTTTTAGTTTTTTTCCTTTTCAATCCCCCTTCTTTTTCTTTTCCCCTTCTTGTCTTTTATCTATTTTCCCCCTTCCCCAATTTTTATTTTTATTTATTTTATTCTATTGTTATTTTTTTTTTTTTAATCTCCTCTTATCTATCATTGGGTTCATCTACCACCGACCCCAATTAACTTGGGTTAAAGGTGTTGTTGATGTTGATGTTGATCTAATAGAAATGGTATTTTCTTATCTATCTTTCACTGTACAAAGGAACGTCATATATAGATGTGAATATTACAAAAGGAAAGAAACATAAGACTTTACAATTTGAATTTTAAAATACAATATCATAATCACATCAGTGTCATTAATTATAGCCTCATGATATCCTTATATATGATGACTCAGCGACAACTGGCAACAACCTGGTTTGACTTTGATCTCATCTTAATTACGGAATATTTTCCTTATTCCAAGGCTATGCAAGGTTGTGCTCCAATACTCCCCTTCAAGATTGAGCATGTAAATTGAAATGCCCATATTGCCCAATAGTTCATGAAACTGCTTACAGCCCAAAGCTTTTGTAAGAATATCTGCCAATTGCATGTTAGAACGTATATATTATGTGGCAATGGTTTTGGCAAGCAAATGCTCACGAATGAAATGACAATCTATTTCTATGTGTTTCGTATGTTCATGAAATACGGGATTGGAAGCTATGTGAAGAGGTGCTTGATTGTCACAAAATAAATGCATTGGGTGAGTCAAATTTACTCTAAGTGAGGCCAAAAACGATTTAATCCACAGAAGCTCAGATGTGGTAGTAGCCATTGAATGGTACTCGGCCTCAGCGGAGGAGCGTGACACTGTGGCTTGCTTTTTGGTCTTCCATGATATTGGAAAGCCACCAAGCATGATGAAGTAGCCTGGGAAGGACCTTCTAGTGATGGGGAAACTTGCCCAATTAGAGTAACAATAGGCATTTACATTAAGATCATTGTTTGCTCGTAAGAGCAAACCTTGGCCTGGACAGGATTTAATATAACGTAGTATTCTATGAATGGCATCAAAATGCTCTTGCTTGGGTGAGTGCATGAGCCGAGACAATATATGCACTGAATAGGAGATGCCAGGTCCTGTAATAGTGAGATAAATTAAACGACCAACTAAATGACGATATTTAGATGGATCATCATATGCTGGACTGTTTGAAAGGGTGAGCATATGATTTTAGTCCATGGGGAATGTGGCCGGCTTGCACCCGAGAACTCCAGCTTCATCAAGAATTTCCAAAGCATATTTCCTTTGGCACAAGGACAGCCTTGATTTGTGACATGCAATTTCTATGCCAAGAAAGTATTTCAAAGCCCCTAAGTCTTTGATTTTGAAGCATGAGTGCAGATACATTTTTACATCCTGACAAGCTTGTGTGTTGTTGCCCGTAAGGATAATATCATCCACATAAACTAAGAGAGCAATAAATGTTTCATCGTGTTTGAAAGTAAATAATGTGTAATCAGCTTTAGACTGTGTAAAACCATACTGAACCAGTGAGGACCGAAGCTTATCAAACCAATTTCTTGGGGATTGTCTTAATCCATAAAGCAATTTTTGAAGCTGACAAACATTTCCAGTTGCAGAAGAAGAAAAACCTTATGGCACCCGCATATATACTTCTTCATGCAAGTCACCGTGCAAAAATGTATTGTTTACATCTAGTTGATGAAGTTCCCATCGTTGAGTAGCAACAACAACCAAAAAAAGACATATGTTCACCATCTTGGCAACAGGTGCAAATGTCTCTTCAAAGTCTTCACCCTCCACTTGATTATTTCTAGCTATTACGAGTCTAGTCTTATAGCGTTCAATAGACCCATTTGACTTGAGCTTGATTTTGTATACTCATTTACACGGAAATGCTCTTTTGCCAGGAGGAAGCTCAGTCAGGGACTAGGTGTGATTTGCTTCAAGAGCCTCAATTTTTGTTTTCATTGTTGCACGCCACTTGGGATCAACGATAGCCTCTTTGAAGCTTCTTGGTTCAACACCTGCACTCACAGCAGCAAGAAAAACTCTGTGCTAAGTCAAAAATTTAGTATACCTGAGATATTAATTTAAAGGATATGGACCACCTGAGGCTCGATCAGCTAGGTGGCATGTAGTTGTTGGAGGTGTGTGTGTCTGAATCGTGTTATAGTGAAAATCCTTGAGATAGGAAGGCACCTTTCGTTCACGACGTGGACGAGAGGTCAAAGTTTCATTCTCAGACTGTGTTACCAATTGTTGTTCAGGTTCATGATGAGATAGATTTAGCTCTCCCTGTCGGGTACATTATGTGATGGTGCTGACTCCTGTGTTGACTCAGGGTCGAATAATAGCCACCGCTGCAATCACCGCAGGACGGAGCAACCGCCTAATAGATTCGAACCACAGCCCGAGGACAGACTTAAGCTAGAAAACATTATTGTCCACATTAGCGACGTAGTATCAGACTCGACATCCACACCGGGACCAGTCAACTAGGCACAGACTAGCTCGGAACTATCTAGCCATAGCCAACACCGGACATCGACAATCATATAACCCAGATTGTTATTTACGCCATCCTGCACCGTATGGATGAGATGGAAAATAGGTACTTCATTTAGAGTAGAATGGAAGCATAGAGGATGGGTGAGTCAGAAGCCTGGCCCTTCTAGAATAGCAACCCGGAACAGGGTTGAGACTAGGATCGAGATGAAGAATGGGTACAGAGGTAGATACGCTAAGATCACGAGAATGACAAAAACAAAGATGGTGGATAAGACCAAGATCAAGGTGACATTGGTGGAGAAGCCCGAGGACGCAAATATAGCTCAGACACATATATAAGCATGTCTAAGAAACCATAAAGAACATTATTAAGAATTTAAGACTACGGGTGGAATACACAAACTTCTCCAAAAATAGTGACACCAATGACACGTACGCCGACTTTATAACTGTCAAGGTCGTCCTCAAATATATGGAGGCATCAGGGTCTATTTGTAACAGCCCGTTACGTATCGATATTGTTAACATTGATTATGATATTAGGCGCAGTTACAATCACAGCAATTCATTTATAAAAATGCGAGTAAACTTTTTCTTTTTTATTACCCGAACATTTAAAACAATAATAAAGCGTAATAATTAAAAGCTGTGACCGTAACTGATAAATCTTTGCGAAATAATGATATAAACTGCCTAGATATCATATAACACTCCTCTCAAGTCACTAAGGGGTTCTCATAAACTCACTTAGCTTAAATCTCACTTTCTCGTTTTTTACCTATCCGAACATGGTTTGGTATTTTAATTACTACGAAAAATACGCATGACGCAAAACTCTCATCTTTTAGTATGTTATTCTAAACTTAATTATCTTTCTAACAAGCTATCACATGAGTCATAAAGTTCTCATTTTCTTCGGATATCACTGTTTGAAGTTGGACAAGCAAATCTGCCAGCCAACCTCAAACAGGGCTCCAAACAGCCCTCATTCTTTCAATTATTCTGGAAAATTCACTCAACCAATTGCCCTCAGATTTTTATACAGTAAACTAGACACCTCAAGATTCAATTTAACATATCATGCACCTAATTTGACCAAGAAACGAAGCGGGAATAAATTTTCCAAACACTGCCAGAGACAGCCCCATGTGCACGGGCGTTTAGAGAAGTCCTTGCTCTCTGACTTCTACAGGGCTGCGTGGTGCTCCATTGGTTCTCAAATTTTGACACAAGCTAGTTAACATCTCAAGCTTTACAATGGCGTATGGCACGTCCCTATTGGACCTCTGTGGAGGGAGATATGCTCTCCCAAAGTTCATCAAAATTTTGCCAATTTCTAGAAATTTTGCCAGAGTTTTCTTTGTTTTTACAATATATCCCACCTTTGAAGGTGTGTCATCTAACCTCAATTTGTACCTAATAAACATGGGTGGCACTCATGGACAAGCAATGTCTTGGTGCTCTTACAACCCTTCACAATTTATATCATTTATCTTACTTTACAATTCCATAATTTCATTATCAAACCTTAAATCATTTCAATCACATTAATTCCTTTGCATACATTCTTCTTGACATAAAACAGAAATCACATCCTAGAATAGGCCTATTGCCCTTTCATCATATACATGCTTCATTATTACATAATGTCTCCAAATTACAAATTACAAGCTCCTTTACAATATTACAATTCTCCTTCAAATATACATAATAAATTCTCCAAAATAAATCATGACAATAAAAAGACTAAACTTAGACAAAATATGACATGAACAAAGATGGCAATAATTAAACTTAAATCACATGCAATGTTCATGTCCTAAGTCTAGCCTAGGCCCAATGGCCACAAAATATAAACTAGCTCCATGTCCAAGCTCAACCTACGGCCTCTTGCCTACCGCTTTGGCACCACTGTCACTACCTGAAATAAGGTCTCCAAAATGAGGTGAAATATATGAATATATCTCAGTAATCCAGAGGTTCTGGAGAATACTCTGCCCAATGGCTCACTTCGATGCATATCAATAACATAATACAATATTAAAAACGCGATAAAGCAAGGGATTTAGTGAAGTAGGGAAGCATAGGGAACAAAATACGACGAAGCTGGAATGGTCAATGCCAAAGCCACGCAACGCCCGACCTATTGGCCTCGGCATATAGCCTACGGGTTCTCATCCAAGGAAGTGTTCCTAGAATATCGACCAAGGCACCCTCCATCCATATACACTCGAGACTTCCTAGTGTGCTCCTCTACGGATGACACACCACGACCCCAGGTCAACTGGAACTCCCTCATGGAGACCTATCCAGTGGAGGTCCATAACGCCCGAAGGCAATTGTCTACTGGCCAGAGACTCGGTACATCCTATGTACCACAAACATATTCTAATGCATGAGCATGTTATACTACATTATCCACATACACCTCCAACCACTACCCTCAACAGGCATGGTGGAGCACACACAGGG